CATATGCTGTCTAAGAAGCTTCTGCAAAAAGAAGGACAGAATGTCTCTTTGCTCATAACATGGGATGGTAGCATTTCATATGTTTAAATTAAAATTGATGGCAAAATTTGATTTGATTACTTATGCTGACATTTAATTAATTTTACACTTTAGAGAAAGGCCCTCATTTACAATACTTGGCATCAAGTAACCAAGACAAATCAGAGCACCATATTTAAAATAGAAAACAGAAATATATATACAGTAGAACTAATTTCAGGCATATATAAATTATCTATCAACTTGACTAAGTATTCGTACCACTCAGTTCACCTGATTCTTTCATTTTGGCTCTACTTTCAAGCCTACAAATAAAATCCTAATTATATTTAACACATATTTTATTATTATATCCCAAAATGAAATCAGAAACATCTAAGCACTTAAGAAAACTATGTGCAACTTGTTTAGTCTGAGTCAGAACCATTCTCCTCCTCTCCATGAAGCTCATAAACATGTTCTTGTAATTTTCTAGACTACTAGAAGGAAAGAAGAAAGGCAGTAAAGTAAGAAATACTTGGGAGATATCTTTGTTTCAAGGACTTTAAAGATTAATAACTTCATAATTAGATTGGTAATTGTTAATAGCTTATAATTAAAGACTAGAAAAAGTTTAATAAATTGAACATCTACTCAACATTCACAGATATTAGAGGCACAACCAGTACACTAGTGCTGTGATGGAAATATCTGCTGTTCATTTTGCTGGAGACTAAATGCACTTATGTCTACATCTCTCACCATATAAACACATTTTGTTTCCTGGCATGGCACCGAAATATCCCCATAAACATGTTGTATGATTCAATGCTTTAATACCTGGGTTGCTTTCCCCAGAAGCAGATCCAGTATCTTGTATTGGCAAGTTAAAAAGTTGACTATATAAACACATCAAGGTTGTCCTGGTCACAGCCAAACAAGTTACAAAAGTAACATACCATCTAGAACCGTTGTTCCAGGGAACCTCATTACACTGAGATGTATTTACATAGAAAAATAAATAGGTAACTTTACTTGTTAATGCAATTAAATGCAATCACCTCATCTCACAAAGGAGATTCTACAGTACATAGGACAAAAATGTATTTCTTGATGCATCTGGCCCAACTATGCTTGTGTTGCAGCTATTTGTCATTTTCTCCTTGAATTTAGAGAGTAGAGTTTGTGCCCTCTGAAGTGCAAACTTGCTTTCCAGCTGTTAATAGGTCAAGAAGTTAAAAGCAATCAAACACGCACCAGGTCAGAAGATGTGGCTGTCTGTCCAAAAGCTGTCAGCATTGTGCTTTTGTAAAGCTAACTACCACAATAAAGGGTTGACTTGAGATTCGGGTAAGGATAACACACGTTGCTTCCTTCACTCCTGCCCCAAAAGCTTATTTCCACCCCAGTATACACACTGTCAGGAGATACGTTTAAGACTCCGTAGGGGAAAATATATGGTTTTCAAGAAATTAAGGATTTAATATATACACATATATTTTAACTCCAATAACAATCTCCCCAGTGTACTTCCCAAATGTGTTGATAGCACTTTTTATGATGCAAACATGAAAAGCAGTAACAGCTTTTTATTTCCAATCAGCTTTTATTTCCTCTTTGTAGACATTCCCCTCAGCACACTCCAGAGCAAGGGCATCCTGCACCGCTGTTTGACAAGTCCCCACTACACGTTTCCGGCATAACGGCTGACCACACGCGTGCTGTTAGCCCACACCACATGCCAAGCGAAACCCTAACTCATCTGCACAAGCTTGCTTTCAGAAGGGGACATGGAACATACTTTAAATTAGCACTTGGTCACACTTGCCTTGGTCAGCTCCACAGAAGAGGATACTACATGAAAGTCTGAGCTTTGAAACAGGAGCCTGAAATGGAGCTTGAAGAACAGAGCAACACAGTAGTGAAATGAAAGGCAATGCAGCAACTCTAGAGAGCACACATGAAAGAACAGTGTGATTTGGTTTTTTTAAGTATCATAGGCATAAAGTAAAGCTTAAAATTAGGAATAAAACTGAAGAATATTAAAGTTATGTTCTGTTAATATATTCTTCTTTACAACTTAAGTAAAGCACTTTACATACAGCCAGTTTCATACCTGTGTCACAGTGCCAACGAAGTCAGAGTAGGTACTGAAATTAGCAGTACTTGTGCAGACCAAGCACCTCAGGTACTTCCACAGGAGCACACTCCACGTGCTGCATCAGCTACATTACCTGCTTCTAATCCTAGGCTGCAATCGTGCTCCTCTGCTGTCTCCCAAGAATGGTCATCTTCCAGACCCCACACCACACCTGATGTTGCAGCAGCCTACTCTCGAAAGCAAGGACAAGGACTTGCCTTCAGCAGAGAGATTAACCAGTTTAAGTATACACTATAATTACACTGGTATAATTTCCTTAAATACACAAATGAAAACCCCTTAATCTGGAACGAGAGTACATGTCAGTTCTGCAAACAGCTATGTCAGTGTAAACTGTTACTGCCCATTAACCTGCTGCCTCAGCTCAGCTCCTCCTCTGCAGGAGACTGTCTCTTAAGTCTGCTGGCAGACTTGCTCATGTGAACGCTCCCTCGTCTGCTTCCATCAGGTTTTCACATTTCTTCAGCTAACCTAAGCCATTTTGACTGAATCAGGTTAGAAAACATTGATATGAGTAGCTCTACAAACAGCAACCAACGGATGATAAACAGCTAAGTGCAGAAACCTTTCATCAGCTCAGATGGATATGAACCCCATCAAAAATCTAATCAGTCAAGGCCATTCGAAGTTACAGATTCACACCAGCAGTACAACTACACTATTAAGCTCCCGTAGTCACATGAGCCCTTGAATATTCCATTCAAAGTGAATTTTGGAGGCCACGTTGATAAGTCTCTATACATTTTAAGACTAGTAAGAACTACCCTCTTGTGCAATCTGTTCAAGTTTGTGCAAGTCTCTTGCATTGCTTCAGCTTAAAAAAAAAAATTAGATGTAAGAATAGGAAAGCAGTAGAAGAGTGGCAGTAGGGAAGGGGGATGTCAAAGGTGTGCATTACTGTAATTGAACGGATGAACTTAAGCTTTTTAAATTCAAAGACAGTGCCTGGGGAAGTCATGTCAATTAAAAGTGTCAAGAAGCACAAAAAGGTGCTGCTTTTCAGAAAGGTTTTTGGCTGTTATGGGAGCAAGACAGTTTGCAATATTATATTCAATAGCAGCTTCAAGAATTTTACAAAAAAGTTTTTCACATACAGACTACACTGACTGCACCTTCAGAATTTCACCCCCTTATGTCTTTTGAGAATCATCACAATGTATTGGCAAGGCAATACCGACAGAATTAATAACCCCTGTATGCAGAAATTGACATTGCAACAGTTAAACACAGTCACACAATAAGGTTTAAACTCTGTTCATAACCTCCCTTGTACTCACAGGTACCAACAGTGGAACAAAACCAGATTTCCCATATTAATACACACTCTAACACTCCTGCAAGAGAAAGGATTAAAGATGGAGTTTCAGGCAGCATTCCAAGATTAATCTCTTGTTAGACAGTCATTAGTATTTTGTTGAATTCTCCTTTTAGAAAAACAGAGTCTAAGCATAGAAAGGAACATGTCTGTAAAGCGGATTTTGAAGTACTTGGATTCTGCTAGAGATTCAAAACTTCAGTAATTTGAGAAGCACTAAAGCTTACAAGTGGTTTTTTTGGTACAACAGAAATGGATTAAAAAAAAAAAGAGTAGCACTACTAAAAGGTAATGTTTAGAAATAATGATCATCAATTCTGCATGCATCCATGCCAAACATTAGTTTAACAACCATTAAATTGCTAAAACCAAGGTAATCTATCTTTTCAGTTTAAAAGCTTTAAGACACCAGTACACTCTGAAAAGTGAGTGACAACAAATGTCAACAGTAGATTTCAGATTTCCTTTGGCCTTAGACTAAGCATGCCATTTATATTTGAAAGATGATTGCTCCTAACTACTAGTTTCTGCAAATCTAGGAGGAAGTGTTAAGGTTTGTGTTACAGGTAAGTGTTCTACCACAAGTTTTCTGAATGACAGAGGATTACAGAGTGATTAATGAGCAGTCTACGAGCCTTGACTCCTATTTTCTCCCAGTGCTTTTAAAAAAATGGGTCTGTCTTGACATAGCAGAGGATTCTGAAGGTCAGAGTTCTAAGTCATGGAGGAGGTTTTGATGACAATCAACACAAAAATTGTATTCCAATAAATTTATAATCAATGCGTTGTCAGATTTCTAGGAACTCAGTTCTCTTTGAATTGCTATTTCCAGAGCTCAAGTGTTTAAAACTGTTTAAAGACACATTCTTCACGTGTGTAAAAGAAAAACCCAATGATACAGAAAAGGTTTCTCTCCTTATGTTGTCAATACTCCCACCTCTTGTAATATGCACACTTTGCAATCTCAAAAATACTAACCAACCACAAACAAAACATTTCAGACAGCCAAAATCACACATTTACACAGCAGCCACTGTGAACTTTATTAAGAAAAGTGTTTGCCAGTTAAAATGCCACCACTTTATTGACTTCTCCACTTACTTGTAGAAAATCAGTTCTTTCAAAATGGCTCTGGAAATCACTTATTCCCAGGCAAATGTTGAATCACTGGCAATGTATGCTCTCCTTGGAACTCTGGCAGCCTTACCACAAAAAGAGCTATATACACCTTTGCAAAGTGCAAAGTAAGCAACATATCTTTCATTCAAGCAACAACGTCATTCTTGAGGCAGATGTCATGCCAGCCAAACAGCAAAAACACCTTTATATTAAGCAATCTTTTCTATCATGACAGTTCCACAAAATGAAGTGCAATTTGTGAGGAAAAAAGTCCGTAAGATACCAGTTTACACATTCTCTTCATGTAACTGTGTAGTCAAGTCTTACTTCTCAGGCTGGAGAGGTTGAGCTACAATGAAACACAGCATGATGATCTACCTTCATTAAAATGTCCTGTTGCTAATGCATCTGCTTTTGCCTCCTTTGCTCCTTAATAGTCCTATGCAGTCCTATGCATTAGAAGTCAGAACAAGGCCTCTTCGTTCATCTGGAGTCAGAGTTACATTAAGTTCTCTAAGCAACTCACAATGTAGTCTATACACATCTCTGAAAAGAAGTTGTCCATTCCCAAGTAATCCAGCCATCACAGAAGATATTTCCTTATTTCTTTAACTACAGAAGTTTTAATTCCTTTTTCATCTTCATTTTGTAGCCATGTGGCAAAATAGCATTGTCATGGGCTACATATGGTAGGAAATAATCTTTATTAATAGCTTCAGTAGATTGCCCGAGGATTTTTAGTACTGTAGTAGGCTTCACATGCAGCTACATAAGCAGATTCTGGGAAGAAATCATCATGGTATTCTGCTAAAAACCTGAGAAGAAAGCACATAAAAAAAAGAACAGAACATGAAACATTTAAGAGAAAACCTATTTTGAAATTAATTTCTAAGCTCAGCAAAACCACATTCTGGAAATTAAGAGTTATTACACTTTGAAATTTGGCATGCAAAAAACTTGCCCTATTTTTACAAGTTTTACATAGTGAGAAGCAGCCTTCCCCTATCATTCTCAAATCTAAATAGCATTTAAAAAATTTGCTCAAGTTCAACTTACAAAGTCTGAAAGCTGAAACTACACTTGGAAAAGAATGAAAAGAACTATCATAGAAGAAAAAAAAATGAAGAAATCTTTCTGCAACTTCTGTCAGCCACCTGCTCAACGTACCCTCTTCACTTATGTCAAAACCAGGGTTTTCAGTTATCCCTATGTCAGCATCTTTTACAAGTGCCCAGTAATCATTAAGTGAAACACTACCTTCTAAGGTAAGTAAAGCTATGATTTGTTCTTTTATGAGCCTGTGCATTTAGGGTCTCCATCCGTCATGAGTATCTGATTTAAATATGGCTCTCAAAGACAAATACAAACATGGCAAAATGCTAACTACAGGTTCTCTGAGTTAAGAGTAGGAAGCAAAGGAAACAACGGGAAACAATGTCATTTGCAGAACCCGGTTTTGCTCAAAAACCACCGGCTAGGGAGATGACCTCACCACTGGAAGCTAAAAATATCAGTTTTACAAACGAATACACTGGACACAAAGTCCAAAGCAAAAAAAAAAAAGTACAGGTGAATGAAATTAAAACCATAGTGTTCCTCCAACCTCACTCTCAGCTACACTGTCTGAACTAGGCATGTCCTTTGATCTCAAGAAAGCCAAAGCATCAAAGAATACTGAAAAGATTCTTTATATAAGGCAATCTAAATTTAATCAGGAATATATTAATTGCTGAGAGCTCATACAGAAAGGTTACAGCACAGAAATGCAGGTAAATGAAAAAAGGTTGTTTTTTCTCCATACACAATCCTTTTACTTAAACACAGGCATCAAGCAAGTGCTAAGCTGGAGAAATAAATGGTTAGATCCTACTAATTCTAGGAAAAGTAGTGAGAAATACAAGATTTTAAGAAGAAAGCAATCTTTCAGTGTGTCACCTAGAAGGCACTTTGTCAACTTCTTCCTTACTTGCTTACTTCATAAGAGTTCTGTAATTAACAGTATAGAGGGACCTACCTAGGTTGGTTTCTGAGGTAAATGTTTCAGGTTTAACATTCACACTACACTAGTTTCTCACTGGGTCCAACAACGGCTTACAATTTTATTCAAAAGCACAAAGCAAAAAATGATCACATAATTAAGGTTGAGAGAGAAATTTTTAAAAATATTCTATGAAAACTATTTTGCTAAATAAAAAAACTATTTTAATATTACAGCATGTTACAGCTGCATTATACCAATTTCCTATTCACAGAAATAAAGGCTTTTAAATAAATTAAATACAAACATAAGGGAAATATTTTCCCCTGAAAGAACAAAATGCAGTGAACTCCTAAGCAATGAATCCAAATTGGTTAAGCTTCAGCAAAAGAATGGGCCAGAAAAAAATATTTTATTCTTTTCTTGAACCAAAAAAAAAAGGACAAATCTAGATTAAAGCCACCAACATCTGATTAATACACTGTCTGAACAACATGACTTAGTGATTTACTAGCCCTTGTCACTAAAACCATTCACCACCTACTTTACTAGGTTTACCAGGCCATAAATTGCTCTGATACTTTATAAAATGTTTTTTTTCATGAGACAGATACTCCTTAGAAAATAATCCAAAGAAACAAAAAAAGAATTCACACAATCAAACCCTTGGTTATCCCTCAAGGGTCAGTACTGGGACCAGTGCTGTTCAACATCTTTGTCAGTGACATGGACAGTGGGATTGAGTGCACCCTCGGCAAGTTTGCCGACAACACCAAGCTGTGTGGTGCGGTTGACATGCTGGAGGGAAGGGATGCCATCCAGAGGGACCTTGACAGGCTTGAGAGGTGGGCCTGTGCTAACCTCATGAAGTTCAACAAGGCCAAATGCAAGGTCCTGCACCTGGGTTGGGGCAACCCCAAATGTCAATACAGGCTGGGCGATGAGTGGATTGAGGCCAGCTCTGAAGAGAAGGACTTGGGAGTAGTGGTGGATGAGAAGCTCAATACGAGCAGACAATGTGCGCTTGCAGCCCAGAAGGCTGTATCCTGGGAGATATCCAGAAGTGTGGCCAGCAGGTCTAGGGAGGTGATTCTCCCCCTCTACTCTGCTCTCATGAGACCCCACTGTGTCCAGTTCTGGAGACCCGAACACAAGAAAGACATGGACCTGACAGAACGAGTCCAGAGGAGGCCACAAGGATGATCTGAGGGCTGGAGCACCTCTCCTATGAGGACAGACTGAAAGAGTTGGGGCTGTTCAGCCTGGAGAAGAGAAGGCTCCAGGGAGATCTTATAGTGGCCTTCCAGTACCTGAAGGGACTACAGGAAGGCTGGGGAGGGACTTTTCATAAGGGCAGGGAGTGACAGAACAAGGGGAAATGGCTTTAAACTGGAAGAGGGGAGGTTTAGATTAGATATGAGGAAGAAGTTCTTCACTGTGAGGGTGGTCAGACACTGGAACAGGTAGTCCAAAGAAGTTGTGGGTGCCCCCTCCCTGGAAGTGTTTAAGGCCAGGTTGGATGAGGCTTTGAGCAACCTGGTCTAGTGGAAGGTGTCCCTGCTGATGGCAGGGGGATTGGAACTGGATGATCTTTAACTCCAACCCAAACTGATCTACGATTTAATGAAGATTAAGATGAGCTACAAATGGAATTTAATTAATAAGTCTTCATTAACACACATTAATTACTTCAAGAGATAAACAGTGAGTACAAACTACAGGGGCCAAAGAAAATCTTAAGTATCATTGGCTAACATTCTGTAAAACACAGTACCAAGTGCTAGGTCATATGATGCAGTATGTTTTAAAAGAACATCAATAAAATAATCTGTAGAAGACATTGGGTAGCTGGCAGTTCCCAGAATTTTAAGGGCAAGTAATTGGAAACAGGTTCATTTTCTCTTACAAGTTTCCTGACTTTTGTTTAAGATCATCTGTCATAAATGCCAATTTGGTGCAAGATGGTAAAGCAGAGAAATTTTAGCAGAGATGTTTATGGTACAACTACAACAACAACCAAAAAACAAAGCTGAGAAAATGCATGAAGTAAAATGTAGAACACTTTTCTTAATGTAACAGTTGTGAAAAGCAAAATACCTCAGAGCTAGCAGATACAAACTATTTTCTGCAGAGAAGTGGGAGAAAACAAGGAAAAGGACACAAGGTCAGCTTGTGTATCTGTATAGAAAGAGCAGTGGCACTCCTCAAGCTGCTTTCTAGTCAAACTACATCGCAGTTCAGAAAGCTGGCAAAGAAATACCAGGAGCCTCACAAGACTCTCAGCTACTGGATATCTCACTAATGCTTTGCTCTCGGAAAAGCTGAAATAGCACAATGATCAATTTCACTGGCACCTGCAAGTCATGAGCCAAGATTTAAAAACAGAGGGAGCTGTACTTAGCAAGCAGAGCCAATGTGCATTTTATACATCAGAAGGTACATTGCTGTATAGCTATTCAGAAATTGTTTAATTATTTAACTTACAAATCTGATAAAATCAGTCCCCTGTTGCATTTTTTCCTTTTTGTATTTTTTTTACTGAGACCATAAACATGCACCTACACAGTGAAACTGCTTATGAGCAACTGAGTTTTGAGATGCACAGTCCACAAAAATATCCTGACGTAAGACTGCAAACTTTTTTCTCATCATAAGTATCCATAAAGAGAATAGTTATGCTTTACACTCCTCAGAGGTAAGAGGACACAAAGCAGCTATTTACCTCTCTACCACAGGTCTCTAGAAGAGCAAGAATTCAGAAGGGACTAGAGGGAATGGAGACAAGGCAACCTAGCTTGAAGAATTCCTATGTTCTCATCTTCAGGTGTAGCAGCCCCTAAACAAGTTTACCTCAATTGACTCCAAGAAAGAGCCTCACAAATATACCACCATCTGGCTAGAGAGTTACAGGCAGATCTACCAGAAAGAGCCATAGAACTATCATTATCCACACTAAAAGGCCACTTGACATATGTATGTCAGGAATATTCCACAGAGTCACTGAATTAATATGAGCTTTAAGAGCATCATCTGGTAGTGAAAACATCTTTGTCTTGACAGCATCAACACAATGTATTACCTGAACAGTCTCTGCATGAAAAAAACACTCTTCTAAATGTCATTTAGCATCATATGAGTAAAATCAGGGATGGTATGAAAAGTGTGAAAATTATGAAGAAATAAAAACATTAATAATCTTAATAATAACAATTTCAGTCATAAAGGTGTAAGAATACAAAGCTAAAAGGAAATGTTTCCAGGAAGGTGACACCTTGCACACTGTGCTACTGCTCTGAGTTCTAGAAGGTAAACAGATGCTTTAATGAGATCAGTGGCCTGGGCCAGATGCTGTTTTAAAGGCAACTGTAATGATCTACCTAAAGGAATTTGTTTGAAAAGCATGATGGGTCCTAACTGAGTCATCTCATCAAAAGAAGTGTCATTTGCAGATAAAGAAGCTATCTCCTCTCCAAGACTACTACTCAAATGCGGGATTTGAAAACTAAAAGGCTTAGTGTCACACAAAAGCATATGCCACCACTTGCTCCCCACCCCCTCCAACTGATGAGGATGTCTCCATCTGGAAGGCTGTTCAGGGAAAAAGCTCACCATCACAAAGTTCATCATAACCCCAATGAAGTCAACAGAACAAGTGAAACGAAGTTTCAGATGTTTGTTCTCATCTCAATGTCTCAAGAACCACACCAAAGGAACCACCAGGCTTGTTTTGTTGACCGGACTCTTGCCACTCATCCACATACAGAAACTGAGATCACCTTTCCTGGCCTTTAAAGGGCAAGTGCAGAGAACTCTGAAGGTGCCAAGCTGCCAACATAA